TAGTAAAAAAGTAAGAACAAAAAAAAGGATACCAAATGGGAGAAAAACAACTTAAAATAATCTCCTATGCAGACGACGCAATACTACTCGCTCAAAGTGAAGATGATTTACAACGTGTGCTGCATCAATTTAATATAACCGCCAAAAAATTTAACATGTTAATTTCCCAAACAAAGACAAAATGCATGGTTACAACAGCAAATTTTTTAAGATAAAAATTGAAGCTGGAAGGTCAGATAATAGAACAAGTGATGGAGTTTAAATATCTAGGCGTCACATTATCTAGCTACGAAAAGCTTGAAACCGAAGTGGAAGATCAAGTGAATGGAGCAAACAGAGCCGCAGGCTGCCTAAATGAAACAATATGGAGAAATAAAAATATTGGGAAAAAATGAAAGGTAGAATTTACAAAACAGTCATTAGACCCATAATGACATACGCGGCAGAAACAAGACCTGACATAAAGAGGACAAAAAGGATGTTAGAAACAGCAGAGATGAAAACACTTAGAAAAATTGATGGTAAGACACTATGGGACAGAGCTAAAAGTACAGATATACGACATAGATGCAAGGTGGAGAACATCAAAAACTGGGTAAGAAATAGAAGAATAAAATGGAACGATCATATAAGCCGAATGACAACAAATATAGTATTAAAAACGACAAGAGACGGTTCCCCAATAGGAAGACGATCAGTAGGAATACCACGAAAACGATGGAATGACAACTTACTGGAGGTACATTGAAAAACAGACAGAGTCATGTCTATATAAAAAAAGAAGAAGAAGATATACAATTTTATATTTTACAATCATCACGAAAATAAATATTCCACATATTCAACAATACGTCAACTTCTTGTATGCTTAACACTACATCAATGCTGTTAAGAAACATCAGTAACTTATTAAATAGATTTTTGGATTTTAGTGGTTGATATCATCTGCATAATTTACCGCTGAGTTACCAGTTATACTGTTATACTAGTTATACTACGATTACAGTTATACGAGGTTGATTGACTTAGATTAGTCTTATTAAAATTTTCTAAATGTTTCTAGAAAGTAATCTGTACTGCTCAAATAACATCAGAGTACTTTCTCGGTTCACTTTCCTTCTTTGTGTACCGTTTAGACGACTTTTAGCTATTGCCTTGTTGATTGCTATTTGGAAAAGAGAGTGTGTTATATCCCTTAGATTTTTAATTGTCTCGCCTTGCGAGACAATTAAAAATCTTCTAATAACTACTCTGACAAAGCTGCTTATGCAAAGCAAAAAGTATTATCATTTTAACTGGTCTTAAGACATCAAAAAAAAATTGAATCGACTCTTCGATTCAAAAATTTGCCCCACATTTTACATTTCAAATCTGTCGCTTCACTATCATCGTAAACGTTTGCACCGTTTCAAATCTTTCTTAGACCCTACATTGTAACACGTCTGCCCAGTTTCAAATCTGTTCTTGGACTCACATTGTAGCACGTCTGCCCACTTTCAAATCTGTTCGTGGACTGCCTATCCGCGTTAAATTTTACAAATTTGACGCCAAATCAATTTCCCCTTTACATCTCAAAACCTAAACAAAGAATGTTCCCCTTGTTATTCGTTCCTAACGGTGAAAGACAAATAAAAAATTTAAAACACTCTACACTATCATCTGCCATTCTACTAATGTGTTCGTTCCACTCCTGTTTCTCTTTTGTCACCCATCCATTTATGTCTTCTATATTACATGCTCATCTTATGTTTTCGCTTCTCTCCCTATCCAACAGACTTTTCCCTGATATTCGTCGGAGTATTTTTATAAGTGTTGTTTCTAGTAGTGATCTCGTTTTAGATGTGTCAGGTCTTGTCTTCGCCGTGTTTGTTATTATACGTCTAATTGCTTCTTTATAGATACTTGTTTTTGTGTCTTGTCTTATGTGTTTGTTCTTCCAGGTTTTGTCATTAGGAGATCCCGCCGCTTTACTTACTTTTAAGCTTTGTTGTCGTACTTCTTCAACATCTTCGTAACTAGTTATATCTATTCCCAGATATATAAATCTTGCTTCCTGCTTTATTATTTTCCCATCAATTTCGATTTTACATCGTAGTGGGTATTCAGATCTTGTCATACATTTGGTTTTTTCTGCTGATATCATATTGTATTTCTTGGCTCTTGTATGTTGTATTGAAGTTTATAACATAATATTTGGATTTCTTTGTTCCCCATTCTGTAACCATGACCTTTACGCACTGCTTGTTTTATTTCGTCTATTATTATGTCAAAGAGAAGTTGGCTTAACGGGTCACCCTGTCTGACTCCGCTTTGTACTGGTATGCACTGTGTTAGTTTTCCATTTATCTTTGTCTGTATTCGATTATGGAATTAGATGTTTTCGATGGTTTGTATAATAGTGATTGGTATGTTTCTTTTATACAGTAGGTGTAAAGGGTTATACTTTTTAAAAACTTATATAGAAGTAAAAACACCTCAAATTTGTATCTTGGTATAAAAATTTAATAGGTGCTGGTGTCTTTAATGACCGAAATGCTTCAGTCAGGATCTTTTGCTTTTGTGGACCTAGTGATGATGGCATGTTCATCTGCATATCCAACCGCTTGTGTATATTTATTAAAGATTGTACCATTTACATTAAACTGAGAATCTCAAATTGGATGCGATAGTCCATCTTCCTTAGCCCATTTTTACAATGAAAGTTCATTGAAATCTCATTCTGAACACTGACTCTGTTATCTGTGTTTATATGTAACTCAAGCATGGCCTGATGCAATTTATGTATATTTGCTATGAGTTATAGCAACAGTTTAATGAGTTATGCAGTTTAAATGCAACTTTAAAATTCACAATGTGGTGGATATCGACGTCGAACTCAAAAGTTTTCTTAAGATTTTGCCTTGCTATCAGATTTAGTTGGTTGTTGATTTGTTAGTTGGGAAGCCACACTAGTATCCCTCCCATTGTTTTTTGTGTAGGGAAACATTCTTATGGTATATTTTGAATACCTTATTGAATAGGGTTCAATGTGTTATTTGACTCGTCCATCGCGAGTCATGCATTCTCGCTACATGGCCTGTCCAATTCCATTTAAGTTCCGCTATGAGTTCCACAACATCAGCAATAATCGTCCTTCTTCGCAGATCTTCGATTCTTATTCGGTCCCGCAACGTCACTCCCAGCATAGATCGTTCCATTCGTCTCTGTGCCACTCTCAATTTCGAAGTCGTAGTCTTGGTTAGAGTCATAGTTTTCGCTCTATAGGTCGTGACCGGTAATACGCATTGCTTAAATGCTAATTAAACTTTGATGGTACACAAGGCAAATATCGAACACAGTATTTAATTAAATCTTGCCCAAGTACTTTCGATCACAAGATCATCCTCAGGGGCATTTCGTCAATTGTGGCCTATCCAGCAATAATGGAATGTCATATATGTAAACTGGGACATAACAAATACACTAAAGACAAACAAACACTTTAAAATTTAAATTGGAGAAGCTACATTTTTATATTATAGAAGCCGGAGACAGACAGATTCTGTCTCCGGCTTCTATAATATAAAAATGTAGCTTCTCCAATTTAAATTTTAAAGTGTTTGTTTGTCTTTAGTGTATTTGTTATGTCCCAGTTTACATATATGACATTCCATTATTGCTGGATAGGCCACAATTGACGAAAAGCCCCTGAGGATGATCTTGTGATCGAAAGTACTTGGGCAAGATTTAATTAAATACTGTGTTCGATATTTGCCTTGTGTACCATCAAAGTTCATTTATTCGAACATTCAACCTTATATTGATAAATGCTAATTGACTTTTCTTTTGAAGCTAATTGGTATGTTGGTCCTAAGTGTGTCACGCAGTTGCCCAAAGGTTTCCACGCTAAAGTAATTCGTCTTTGGTTTTCGCATGTTTGGGTTGGCATAACCCATGAATAGGGTTATGACTTCATAATTATCGCACACATTCAGGTTTCCCTCTTTTATGAAGTGGGCATAGTATACCTAGTTTTAAGTTCGTGGGTGTTTTTTTCCTTTGCCTGATTTCTGTTATTAACTTAGCATGTGTTTCAAAATATTGTCGTCGCCCTTTTTTAAAAGTTCGGCAGGGTGCTTATTAGGACCAGGTGGTTTGTTATTTTTTAATTTTAAAATAGATTTCTAATTTCTTGTATGGTGGGAACGGATTCTTGTGTGTTTTCATCTATTTCAAGTATACCGGTCTTCGTCCTGATTGCCATTAAGGAGTTATTCAATACGATTGGCCCATCTATTTAATACCTGACCTTTGTCACTAATTACAAAGCCATATTTGTCTTTACAGGCCATTATTCTGAGTTTGAACTCTTTTGTACAACTATTTGTAAATAGTTGTAATGTTGTATGTGTTGGTTGGCTCTCTGAAAATTCTCTTCTCTGTTCACCTAAGATTTTAAGTCTGATGTCTAAGATCACAAATAGTATCCATAACATTCAATATAAGAGAGTCTGGAATAACTCGAAGTCGTCATTATCATCTTTGTCTCGACAATCCTTTGTGGATCAATTGTGGATCATGCTCTAAGATTCTATTATGTTCGGTTTCTGGCGACTCGTTGCCATCTTCTGATTTTTAATATCCCCAAGAATAATTTGAGATCACTAAGGCATTAAATGAAACGATACAATCATATAAAAAACAGTAAAGAGAAAATATAGGTGAAAGAGCAGTATAATTTAATGGAAGTTTATTTTTTATTAATAGGACATTTAATTTTACTGCTCTGTATTAGTTTAGTATTTACCTGTAGTAGTTAAAAAGATTCAGACGAATTAATCGTTGGACAAATCGCCTATTGTATCCCGAGAGCTGATATGGTCAAAGAGTCAAAGAGTTTGACATGTTTTTAAGAATTGTTACTATTTATGTTTTAACTGCCGTAATACGCTGCTTTTAATTTTAAACGGCGTTATTGGTGGTTCTTAAAAAAATTAAATATATTATTACAATTTTTTTAGGAGTAGTCGGACAGAAATTGAAACAATATACCAAAGGCTGGTGGAAAATCTTTACCGTGTTTTTATTATGGTTGTTTCATTTGATCTCGGATATATGTCAGTTAAGTCTACATATTAGTCGTGATATGTAAGTATAATATTTCACTATATTTTTATTTAATATTAGGTTTCAGGTTTTTATTTACAAATATTTGAAACCATACATATATCATTAATACACAATTAAAATTGTTGAATTAACAAAAAAATTGCTGAAGGCGACTGAACAGTCAAGAACAACGGCTACTCAGACGAAGCGAAATTAAGTCAAGTTGAGGTTATTCGAAATATAAATCATAGAAAGTTTTTGTTTCATTCTCACCAAGACTGACTTGTGGAGCATACACATATACAGAATTCAACACTTCTTCATCAAATATAAATTTCAATGGCACTGATTCCATCACTCATTTTTACTACACTATCTTCTTCAACTTACAACTTACTATATTACAACTTCTACTAAAATATCTTTCATTTCTGTATCAGCGATTATACCAACGTACCTATTACAATTTGTATCATTCGCCTAGTTCTTTCGCCCCGTGCTCTTTTCACCTCGTCTCTTAAATGTACTATCAATTCAATTTGTACTATTCTTCGTTTAAGTGAATATTCCAGCTCTATACTATTACCTACAAGACTTCAAAGATTTCAAGACCCTATACTGATTTTTCTACACTGATTTCTCTTAATTACTATTTAATTTAGAATAAGCCACAATTAAAGGTTAAAATACGTTTATTGACGTTTCAATTTCCACTTCGGAAATCGGTCTCAAAATACAAACAGTAAATTGTTTAATACACTGGGTAATACTTAGATAAAAAGAAAAACATTATAATGTAACGATATATTTTGCTTACCTCAGGGTAAGAACGTGGAGGTAGAAGATTGGGAACAGAAACTACTGGGGGTAGAGATAGGGCAAACGAAATAATCGAAACTGGTGCGTACGACACTCAGGGGGTTGTTGGAGTGCGGGGTCGTGGATAAGTTGAAATAAATGGGTCGGATTGGGGTATCTACAAAATGAAAACAAAGGGATACTTACATAAATCTCCTGGAACAATTATGAACAAGATATGACAGACATGGTTACCTCTAGCTATTTCTATTCGGACGCCGCTTTGAAAAAAACTTCCTGCTGGAAAAAAGAAAATTTCTTCTTCCATAAAATCAAGAATACATACAAGGGTTAGGAGACTTTTCTAAATTAAAACAAAAAATGGATCAGAGAAACTAATCAAAAGTTTATTTTTGTCTCAAACAAACAGTTATCAAAAATACAGATTGAACAAAAACATACTATGTAACCATAATACAAAATTAACAAAAACTTACATGTTTATCTGTTTACAAAAGGAGATTGCTACATTAAAAAAATTATGATATTTTTTTGGCCACGCGTCTAACATAATATAAAACTTTAAATATTACAAATTCTTTTAATTTTTAATGCAAGCAATTATCAAAAATAATGTCTATTTTACTTGGAAAAATGAATATATTAAATGTTACCTTAAGTCACAAACTTTTACACTTAACTTCTGAATGAACTCGCTAAACATCTATGGGAAAGCTACTTGGACAGATTCTCAAACTGGAACAAAGGAAACCATTTCCATACTCAGGAACGAAGATCTAAGACGTAAATCAGGTTTGGTAGAGAGGCAAGTAGACGACAAACACAACGAACCCGGTGGAACAACCTATATGTTGCTTTTCAAAATTCCATCAGTTTCGGTGTTCTGCACAAATCTTGTGGTTGTTACTCTGTCCTAACATGCAATTTTCGCAAAGAGTAAATCCAACCTTTTACCGGTCTTGAATTTAAGACATTACACAAAAAATCGGCTGTGGATTCAAAATCCGCCAAACGTCTTTCTCGTTCGAATTCTCTTGCTTCACTCCTATCTGCGTTCCGTTTTAAAATTTCAACGTAAATCTAAATTCCCCCTTCACGTCTCGGTTTCAGGCGCCAGCTAACCTAAACAAACAAATACACCTCTCTATACATTCGTACAACCTTGAACCGACAACAAAAGATCTTAAAATACTTACTTTTAAATTGGGTATCTGGAAATTTTTTACCTCACAATACATGCAGAGAATAGGGGGATTTTAATGTGAATAAAGACAAAAAAATATTCCCAGCGTTAATACGTCTTTACTACGAGATAAACAACACGCATTTTATTGATTATTCTATCGTCCTATTTTCTTAGTTTTAACCGGAATAATTTTCTACCTGATAATGTAACAGAGACAAAAACATCTATATTTTGAAACAACTGAATACAAAACTTTATACAGAATTTATATTATTATATAGATATTAAATATTAACAAATTTAAAACGCTACAATAATAGTAACCCGACTGCCCTCGAAAACTTAATAACCATTCTGAGTCGAACGAAAAAAAAAACAAGAGTCGACTAAGGAAGGTCGATAAAAAGGAACATTTCACTTGAGAAAAGTTAAAGTAGAGTAAAATATGAAGGCTCTCATGATCCGCCAAGTGCATTCATGAGAGTATGAGCATATAAACCTTGTGTTCCTGCTCATACATCATGGTGTTGACTACAGACTGTGTAGCTCGCCCAGCATGCATAGTATAGTGCAAACGAATTCAGAGCCATTAGGAATTGCGGTTTTCATACTCGCTCACCACCATGGTCTAACATAAACTTTTATTGAATTGTTCAAAAACTTTATATTATTTTATACGGTTAGTCACGTCAGATTCTGTTGGTGTACTCTTTTGTGAAGGTAGTAGAGGAAAAGTTAAATAATAAAAATCTGATTATATTAAGAAACAAAATCAAATGAATTCATTACAATAGTATCTCCAAGTTGCCTTTTTATGTAGCAAGTTGGTCTAAATATTCTTTTTCTGATAATATAACTGCCAAAACAAAACATTGCGAAAACCCAAGCATCCTCTATCGACATATAAATGGTTGATAACGTTTAATTAAAACGTATAACGTTATATCAAGTTTCAACTTTAGTAAATGTGGAACTTTTTTTAAGGTTTCTATTTCTCTTTTCTATCTAGTTTTTTAATGCTAACTGTTAATTAACACTTTCATGAGAAACTTTTTTTTATTATTACATTAGTCAATCATATTGTTAACAGTCATTTTCTGGTTCATTTAGGTGTTAAAAGTTTTTTTGTTAAAAATTGGGGCTATTATGTATCGTTTACGTAAATAATTACATACAAATGTGAATGACGTATCATGTCCTGCGTTGCTAGGCGTAAAATGAAGCTATGGGATGTTGGCACCTCATTGATCGAATTTCGTAAAAATAATTACGTTGTCTGAATGTTCCCGTTTTTGTCACAAATGGTCAGTTGGTTTCAGCTTTTGGTCAGTTCTGGTTAATTTTTTATTAAGGGTCGAAAATTTTCAAGGACAAAAAAATATGTTGGCACCTCATTGAACGAAATCTATAAAACAAATGACTGTATTTGATAGAGATTAAAACGCTGACAAATGGTCAGGTATATTGAGCGTTTGGTCAGTTTGTTTTTGCGGTGAACATAATTATTAAAGTTGTAACAACCCTAACACGCAAGCGCAGTCCATTAAAAATTTTAAAAATACCAGGATTGCAGTGCCATGCTGCAATAAACATTTTAAAGATACTAGAAGAACAGTAGGTTCCCGTGTTTTCCTAAATCACTATGTTACAGCTAGCATTTCTGAAATATAATTATACCACCTAAAAGATCACAAATTAATCTCCAATGGTCAGATATTTCCAGAAATTGGTCAGTTTTAAGTAATTTTTTATTAATTCTTGAAAATTTTTCAAGGACAGTCTGATATTGGCCTCTTATCCAAATATTAAAATTTTTACAAGAGGCCAAGTCGTACAGTGTTGCGCGATTTAAAATAAGTGATGAATTGTAAGTTTTCACACAGAAACATTCTTTGGATTCTAATCACAGAAAGCGGTTGTAGTACAATTTATTGATATCGAGACAATGTAACAGTTGTTAGTGATAATACGAATTGTAATATATTTCTTTGTTTTGGATATTGGACGCGATTAATAGTAATATATTCCAACGGGATTAACTTTAATAGGTTAGGCAAATACGCATACTAACACACATGTTTTCAAATTTACACCGTTGTCGCGTCTAAAAGATGGTTGTTTACGTCTCATTTCATTGTTATATTTTTGTAAAATATCAAATTTGTGATTCTTAAATCCGTTTTGATTTTTATGCAGTCATTTTATTCATTCTTTTATTAGAAAAATGTAAAAAATATTACTTATACTCACAAATTCACAACAGTTGTAATTAAGAAAATTGCGAAGAGTTATTAAAGATCCTTGAAATTAAGTGTCCTGCGAGATACTATGTTCTGATTCAAGTGTTCTGCGACTGTTTTCTACTTGGATTTTCAGTTAAAAATTCACATTAGCTAAGGTCTCTCTAGATTCTCTTACGTTAGGTTGTGCAGATGGGTGATTATTCATATCATAACAGACGTGTTAGGCCTTTAGGAATAGAGGACGACCACCAACAAGATGGACGGATGACCTGAAACGGACACATCAAAATTGGATGCAGGCGGCTCAGGACAGAAATTTGCGGGGTGAACTACGGGAGGCCTATGTTCAGCAGTGGATGAGTATGGGCTGAATGATGATGAACAGACGTGTATTAAGCCGGAATCAGATAGCTCGTGGAATGATGCTCTTCGCTTTGGCAAAGAGAAACAGAAAATCGAAATGAAACAACGGTTGGCACCCCACGTTACTGTGAAGTTAGTAAATATTTACTTTTTGGTAAATGCATTCGACATATCCCAAACAGTAGTCCATTCCAGTAGTCCAGTAGTAGGACCATTTCGATGGTCGGTATCGAGGGTTAACTCTGTTGTACGCCATCAGTGTTGGTGGTAAAAATTTTATTCTCCTTCTTTTTATATAGACACAACTCTGTCTGTTTTTCAATATGCCTCCAGTAAGTTGTCATTCCATCATTTTCGTGGTATTCCTACTGATCGTCTTCCTATTGAGGAACCGTCTCTTGCCGTCTTTACTACTCTATTTGTTGTCA